GGTTGATTTTAATTTAGGGGCAGAAAGCTAAGTCACCTGCAGAAATCTGGAGAAGAACCTGCTGAACTTCACTTCTGGAAAATTTAAATGCCGTTCTGAAGCAAGGTCTGGGCATTGTATTCTCTTTCAAGATCGTTTAGGCAATTCTGGGTCCATTTCTTCTATAAGCAACTTACCAGTTTCTGCAAAAAGTCAACTGGGATTGTGATAGACACTGCATTAAATCTGTAAATCAATAATATTAAGTATTGTCATCCTAATGATATCAAGTCTTCTGATCCCTGAACACGGATGTCTTTATTTTAATTAACTTTAAGAATATCTTTATTCTTTAATTCCATTCAACAATGCCCTATAGTTTTCATAGTATGAGACTTGTACTTCAGTTAAATTTATCCCTAAGTATTTTACTATTTATATTGTAAATGAAATTGTTTTTTAATTTCATCTTAAATTGTTCATTGTTGATGTATTGAAAAACAACTAATTTTTGTTCCTGATCTCATCAGGAACTGCAAACTTAACTCATTTATTTGTTCGAAGTTTTTTAGTGACCCCCCCCCATATATACACAGGATTATATCATCTGCAAACAAGAGATATTTTTACTTTTTCTACCTCACTATCTGGATGTCTCTTATTTCTTTTTTATTCATCTAATTGCCCTGGCTAGAATATCCAGTACAACACTAAACAGAAGTGACATCAGCTGTGTTACTACAATAGATTTCAAATAACCAAAGCAATCTTGAGAAAGAGGAAAGCTGGAGGCATCATGCCCTCGGATTTCAAACTATACATAAAGCTGAAATAATGAATAAAAGTATGTGGAAAAGGGAACCCTTGTGCATAGTTAACAGAAATGTAAATGGGTACAGCCACACTGAAGAAGAGTATGGAGATTCCTCAAAAAATTAAAAATATAGAACTACTGGGATGCCTCGGTGGCTCAGTGGGTTAAGCATCCAACTCTTGGTTTTGGCCCAGGTTGTAATTGTCATGAGATTGAGCCCCATGCTCAGCAGGGAGTCTGCCTGAGAGTCTCCCTCCCTCTGCCCCCACTCTCTCTCTCTAACAAATCTTTTTTAAAAATTTAAAAATAGCACTGCTATATGATCCAGCAATCCCACTTCTGAGTATTTCTCCAAGAGATGAAATCGCTGTCTTGAAGAGATATTTGCACTCCCATGTTCATTTCAGCATTATTCACAATAGCGAAGGTATGAAAACAATATACATATGCACAGACGAATGAAAAAAAAAGTGGTGTATATATAAAATGGGATATTATTCAGCCATAAAAAAGAAGGGAAACCTGCCATTTGTAACATGAGTAAATCTTAAGGGTATAGTAGGTGAAATAATCCAAATATTTTATCTCACTTATATGTAGAATCTAAAAACATCAAACTCACAGAAATAGAGACTAGATTGGTGGTTGCCAAGGGTTGAGTGGTGACGGAAATGGGAAACTCCTGGTTAACTTTTCAGTTGCAAGTAAGTTCCAGGGATCTAATGTACAGCATGGTGACTACTGTTAACCATAGTTAACCGTACTGTACTATACGCTGAAAAGTTGCATTGAGAGTAAATTTTAAGTGTTCTCACCACCACTAACTGTGGTAAGCATTTTACAGTAGATACCTGTACAGAATGATCACCGTACACTTGAAACTTATACAGTGTTATACAGGCACACCTTGTTTTATTGCACTTCCCAGATAGCGTGTTTTCCACGTACTGAAGGTTTGTGGAAATCCTGTGTCAAGCAAGTCTGTCGGTGCCATTTTTTTTTCCAACAGCTCACTTTGTGTCTCTGTCACCTTTCAGTAATTCTTGCAGTAGTTCAAACTTGTTCCTTATTACTGTGTTGGTTACAGTGATCTCCCTGTTGTCACTTTCCACTCACTTCCCAACACATTCCAGTTTCGATTTTATTCACAGTTTTAACTGCTTGTGTAAAGTCACCAATGACTTCTATTACCTAAATCCTTAGGGCATTTTTCTGTCCTTTTCTTTTTTTTTTTTAATTTTTTTTTTATTTATTTATGATAGTCACACACACAGAGAGAGAGAGAGAGAGAGAGAGAGAGAGAGAGAGGCAGAGACACAGGCAGAGGGAGAAGCAGGCTCCATGCATCGGGAGCCCGACGTGGGATTCGATCCGGGGTCTCCAGGATCGCGCCCTGGGCCAAAGGCAGGCGCCAAACCGCTGCGCCACCCAGGGATCCCTGTCCTTTTTTTATTTCTCAGAACATTCCCCTGTTGTACTATGTCTCCTTCAAACACTCCTTGACTTCCGTGAAACTCCACTGTCTCTATTTTCCCATTTCTCGTTTTACCCATCAATTTCTCCTGTCAGTTCTTTCATCTCTATCTAAACATTAAATATTAGAAGAGATTCTGGGACTGTCCTGGTCACCATTTCTCTTTGTATTGTATTCTTTCCCTGAGCAATTTCATCTCTTTACACAGCTTCATTTATCATCTGTGGTTGACAAACTCAAATTCAATCTCCACCGTGGCTCTTGCTTCTGTTCTATGGACTTAACTCCAACTGACTATTCCACATCTTCACTTGCATATCTCACAGAAATCTCAAATTCACTATGTCCAAAACTTATTTTATTATCATTTCACCTTCTTACCCACCACCGTTGCCCTCATTTTTCCTCCAGGATTCTCTAACTTGGTAAAGGTACTATAATCCACTTGGTTGCCAAGCCAGAAAACCTAGAGATCTTTTGACTTTTTTCTCTCTCCCACAATCCCAAAGCCCAAACAGTACATTCTGCCTTTTCTATCTTTAAAATATCTTCTGATGTGTATTAGTCTCCTAGGAATACCATAACAAAATGCCACAAACTGAACGGCTTAACAGAAATGTATTTTCTCCCAGTTCTGGAGACCACAAGTTCAAAATCAAGGTGTTATCAGGTTTAGTTCCTTTTAGGGGTCTGAGGATCATCATCCACGCCTCTCGTTGCTTCTGGTAGTTACTGGCAATCCTTGGCATTCTTTGCCTTCTGGCTGCAACACTCCAATCTCTGCCTCTGTTGTCATCTGGCCTTCTTGCCCCGTGTTTCTATATCTCTCTCTCCTTATATGGACACCTCATTGGATCTAGGGCGATCCTAACCAGTGTGACCTTATCTCAACTTGATTATACCTGCAAAGACCCTATTTCCAAATAAGGTCACCTACACAGGTACCAAAGGTTAGGACTTCAATGTATCTTTTTTTGGGGGGGGGATACAATTCAACCCCCATATATCTTCTACTGTTCTGTGTAGTATAGTTGAGATGAGATGAACTCCTAAGAGTCAGAATGCCTAAGGTAAATCCTAGCTCTGCCACTTTCTAGCTGTGTGATCATGGAAAAAGTTACCGACTTTATTTTGTACTTCAGGTTTCCCATCCGTAAAGTGGGGATGAAAATAGTACCCATCTCACAGGGTTGTTGTGAGGGCTACACAATATAAGTAAAGCACTTGATGAAGACTCTGCTATGCACTGTTAGGTGTTAATTATTATTATTACCAGACCCACTCAACTGGGATACCCACCACTTCCACTTGCCGTGTTTGGCATGGTACTTCCTACGCCCACTATTCTACCCTTCTAATCCATAATCCACACTGCAGTAAGGATCTTGCCTATAACACAACTCTGGTCATGTCACTGTCCTGCTTCAGACCTGGTTTTCACCTGCCCCAGTTTTCACATAAGCTCTTACTCCTCACCCTCCCAACCCTTCACCCAATTAACGTTTACTCACTAGGTTTTTGGCTAGACACACTTCCTCTGTTAAGTGTTCAGAGATTCACAGGTCAGTGTTTCTCTGCCCTTTTCTTTTTTAAGATTTTATTTATCCATTCATGAGAGACACTGAGAGAGAGAGAGAGAGAGAGAGAGAGGCAGAGACACAGACAGAGGGAGAAGCAGGCTCCATGCAGGGAGCCCGACAGGGTACTCGATCCCGGGTCTCCAGGATCACGCCCTCGGCCAAAGGCAGCACTAAACCGCTGAGCCACCCAGGGCTGCCCTCCCTGCCCTTTTCGTTCACAATATCCTGCGAACTTGTCATTGCCACTTGTTCATTTTTCACTTATATTAACTGCCATTAGAAGGGCAGGGTGACCGCGGAAACCTCCACTCCAAACTACATGGGCCCGGCACATAATTTATGCCCAGTAAACCCGAAGAAATGAATGAATCGATGTTAATCTTGCCGGTGGGTTGAGCTTCAGTGTCTCACACAGACGTCCCTGGCGTGCTGACAGACAAACGACGCTACACTTTATTGGGTACACCTACACCTCCGCGTGACGTGCACCCTGTCTCAGTTTCGCCTCACGCGGCCAGAAGTGGTCTGCCCCGGGGGCGGGGGGGGGCACGGCAGTCGCCGGACTGTGTGGTCACCGCGGGCACAACTGGGCCTTCCTCGCCTTGGCACTCTCAGATTCTAGCCTGGCACACGGCAGACACCCACTAAACCGTGAACAACCTTTCCTTGGAACGTGGGAGGCCGGAGGCCCTGCTAACCCGAACACCTTCCCTTTCCCCCCAGCCTCCAACACCCGGGAACCCTGCGGCCTTCACCAAGTTCATTCCTCTAATCACCCCAAGCTCCAAAGCGAGCCACGCCCCTCCGTCCGTAACAGGGCCACAGAGCCTCAGAGCCCGGGTTCGCTCCGCCGCGGGCGGTCACGGAGGAGCGCGTCAGATCGCTACCCTAAGCTAAGGTCCCGCGGGGGGCGTCCCAGGCCCTGCCCCGCACCCCTCCCCATCCCGACTCCCGGCGTCCCGCACACGGGGCGTCCGTGGAACGATCAAGCTCGGTGACACGGGAAGTGGCTCGGCTTCCTCCCTCCAAGGAAGGGCCTCCCGTCGGTCGCAGCCCAGGCTGTCCCCTCCCCGCGGCCTGACTGGGCCTGACTGGGCCTGACTGGCCGCCGCCGCCCCCCGCCCCCCTCAGCCCGGCCCGTGGCCCCACTCACTGTTCTTGAGGAAGCGCTCCTCGTGCAGCACCGCGATGGCGTTGACGCAGAGCAGGGCCGCCTGCAGCAGCGAGTACAACGTAAAGGCCATGGCCGCCCGGAGCCGCCCCGAGGCCCAACCGATCTTTCTCCCGCCGCCGCAGGGGACGTGGCGCCGCCACGGCCGGCGCTCCCCTACGGGAGCCCGGAAGGCCCCAAACGCGCTCTCTCACAAGCTCCGCCCCATCTGGCTGGGACCCGCCCCTCGCTGACGTCAGCAGGGGGCGTGTGGTCCGCGGTCGGCGGCGGTGCGCGCGGTGCGTCGCGTGCAGCCGGCGGCCGCGCGTGGCTGCGGGACGCTGGGCCTGTGGCTGGTGGAGGTGCTGTAAAGTGTGAGACTGTACACGCCGATTTCAAAGACTTAGGACGAAAACAACGTAAAACCTCCCATTAATTTTTAAATGTTGATTACATGTTGAAATGATATTTTGAATATATTGGGTAAATAAAATGAATTATTGACTTTTACCAGGCGCGCCTGGGTGGCTCAGTGGGTTAGGAGGCTGCCTTGGGCTCAGGTCATGATTCCGGGCTCCTGGGATCCAGCGTCTGGCTCCCTGCTCAGCGGGGGGACTGCTTCTCCCTCTCTCTCTGCCACTCCCCCTGCTTGTGCTCTCTCTCTCTTTCTTGTAAATAAATAAAATCCTAAAAAAATAATAATAATAACTTTTACTGTTTACTTCTACTTTTTTTTTTTTACTTCTACTTTTTTTTAATGTGTCTATGAGGACTCAAATGACACGTGAGGCTTGCACAGTACGTTTATCAGACAGCATTGTAGTAGATGTTCTGGGAGCTCTATAGGACGTTCATATCCCTATTTTACAGATAAAGAGGATTTGGCAAGTAAGTTTTTTTTTTTTTAAATTAAAATAAAATTACGTGTGCTAAAATTACTCAGTGAGAAACATTCTTTCTTTGATCAAACTAGCCGGGATCCTCTAAGCCCTCTTCTGTACTAGACCTTAACCTCGGCCTATAAAAACTACAGGTTCTCAACACAAAAGATTTCATCCACTCTCTTAGCCCTGCGTTAAATGACTTAAACGTAACATAGCTTCTAACAGCTCAAGGCCACATCCCTAGAATGACCCAAGGCCCCCTCACAGTGTCTGCCTGTGAAAGCTCAACGTTGCCCAAAGAATTTACTGTTTGTTCTAGCCAACCTGAAAATAGGCCCCTGACCACCCTTTCTTAGATCATTTGTTAAAAAGGGTCAACAACTGTGAATCCTTCCCCTGTCCCTTTGAGATATATATGCCATCTCCTATAGTATGTATCTCTGACCTGAAAGCCATTCCTTTAAAATGTAACCATTGGGGGCAGCCCCGGTGGCTCAGCAGTTTAGAGCCGCCTTCAGCCCAGAGTGTGATCCTGGAGTCCTAGGATCAAATCCCACATTGGGCTCCCTGCATGTACCCAGCTTTTCCCTCTGCCTGTGTCTCTGCCTCTGTGTGTGTGTGTGTGTGTCTCATGAACAAATAAATAAAATCTTAAAAAAAATGTTCCCATTGGGAAAATAGGGTCTCTGTTTCCCATTGTCTGTGGGTGGGTACAATCCTAACTTTGATAGTTGCGAGCTAACCCTCACAATCAGCCAGTCAACATTTACACTGACCACCCTTCTACAATTTTTCACTTCCCTGACTCTGTGGAGCCCCTGTTCACCTCCCTTTCTTCCCCCTTTAAAATGCTCAGTGACCTCTGTACAAACTGAAATTGAGGTCAGTTTGCATTTGACCCTCTTGCCTAGTGCAATAGTACATTACTGATGAAAATCTGTCTTTACCATTGTAACTGCTGTCTAACTTTGTCTTTGACAGCAGCAGTAAGAAGCTGAGTCTGATCATGCTGAATTTTAGATATTGTTGAGGCCAAGTATACAAATTAATCACATTCTGAACTTCTCATGGTCCCCTAAAATAGGAAATAGAAAGGCATCACATTAGTCCCAGGAAGGACTTTGGAAGCTCATGTGCATGCTGCTGCTGCTGCTGCTGCTGGAAGAGACACTAGCCCCCACAGCCCCCCAAAGAAAAGAATAATTAGTTAATCTCCCAAGAAGAAATTAAGCTTAAATAGGCCAGATAGTACCTACAGGGAAGAAGAGATGCATTATTTCCCACAGTCATAAACACTACCTCCAAAATCAGCCCTAAATGCAAATGAGGTGGGGAGAGGCAGAAGTAGATAAAGTAAAGGAAATAAAAAAAAAAACAACAGGATACCAACAAATCCTTCAGTTTTTCATGGCCCACAAAACTCTAGACCCTGGTGATAGAGAAAGAAGGTCCTCCTGTAAATGCACAGTGACCAATCCAGGATTTCTACCTTGGGCTGGGAGAGTAGGAAGGACACCCAGGGGGCCTGTCTGGGAGCTTTCATTGAGCAGTGAATCACAGTTGTTACTAATATTGTGTATTTCCTGAGAAGAGGGAGTCATGGAGGATGCCTGGAGATTATGGGGATAGATGCAGAAGAGGTGGGGTAAAGCCTCTCACAGTTACCTCTTTGTGTCACTCGTCCCTGGGTCACGACTCACATGATTCAGTTCTTTTATTTTCAAAAGAATCAGGTTAACCTCTCTGGGCCTCTGTTACTTCATCTATAAAATTAGGTGATTATGATCTCTAAGGCTCCTTCAGCCCCCCCAAATCTCTAGATCTAGCAAAAGCAGCTTAAAATATAAGACAGTGTACGAGTACTAGTACCACATTATCTGATCCACTATTTTTCAAAAATCCAGGCTTGTAGACTAAGCTGATAATAGCAGATTATATTTTTTAAAAAGAATTGTTCCTCTGATGTCCACAGTTCCTAAAAATTTAAAAGCCTGGAGTTTTAAAAATATATTTATTGGGATCCCTGGGTGGTGCGGCCGTTTGGCGCCTGCCTTTGGCCTGGGGCGCGATCCTGGAGACCCGGGATCGAGTCCCACGTTGGGCTCCTGGTGCATGGAGCCTGCTTCTCCCTCTGCCTGTGTCTCTGCCTCTCTCTCTCTCTCTCTGTCATAAATAAATAAATAAAAATTAAAAAAATTTAAAAAATATATATTTATTAAACAGTTGTTTCAGTTTAGAAAAAAATCTTCCCCCCAAAAAAGAAATGGGTAAAATGCATATTCTGTATTTCAGTAGATTGAAAAAAAAGCCCCAACTGGATATGGCCTATTTAAAATTAGAACTTTCAGGGGTGCCTAGGTGGCTCAGTCCTTCTGCTCAGGTCATGATCTCAGGATCTGAGATCCAGCTCCATGTGTCATGTATCAGGCTCCCTGCTCAGTGGGGAGTCTTTTAAAGGTAAGTGCTCCAGGATGAACTCCTCCTTGGACTTATGAGAAATTGGCATTATTAAACTCAAATTTATCCCTTCCATATACTAGTGACTTTGCCTTATCATTTGGCTGATCCTTGGATTTGGGTTCAGCTATATGACTTGCTTTGGCCAAAGACTAAGAAGGAAGTAATACTGGGCCAACTCTGAGTCTGGACCTCAAAAGGCATTATATGTTTCTTTCTTGTGCCTCTGACATTGCCATGGGCGAAAAAAAGACAAACAACAACCATGCCTGAGCCAGTCCACTCGTTCTAGGAGAAGGATGAGAGATACTTGAAGTAGAGCCAAATTACCCCCACTCAGGGCCAGGCTAAATCAGCAAACCCTTATCCAGGTACAGATCCATAACAGATGACTGTTGTTTTAAGTCACTAAATATTGGGATTGTTCCATAGTATCTTTGAAGCAACAGATTTCTACTCACAGTCACTCTTGGTGATTTAATTTATTCTAACAGCTTGACAACATTTCTATACTCTAAAGACTTCCAAATTTGTATCTCCTACTTGGAACTCACTCATGAACCCTTAGCTGATATATCCAGATGACTATCACTTGGGTGTCTAATAGGCATCTCAAACTTACCTTGCCCAAAATTGAATTCCTGATTTCCCTCTGAAATCCACTTCTCTTGAAGCCATCCATTTCAATTGATGGCAACGCTGTCCTTCCAGTGGTTCAAGGAAAAATCATTGGATTGTCCTTCATTCTATCTCCCTGTCTCACACTCTATATACAAACTATTGGCAAGTTCTGTTGACTTTAACTTCAATACATAGGCAAGTCTGACTACTTCTTATCTTCTCTACCACTAATACCCTGGTGCAAGCCACAGTCATCTCTTGTATAGATTAGTGCAATAGCTCCTAACCAGTCTCCATGGTTTTTGCTTTTCTATAGTTTATTGTCCCCAGAGCAGCCCAAGTACTCTTTCAAAGTTTAGTAAGGATGTAATTTATTTGTTGAGAGAACTGGGTCATTTTTCTTGTAGAACTTCTCACATTCTGAATTTTGCTGATTGTATCCTCATGGTCCTGCCTGATTTAAATATTACGCGGAACACCGGAATCATCTGTAACAAAATGAAAACACTTGATTGAAGAAAATAGTCACTATTGAAACTGACTAAAACTTTTCACACACTCAATGGAAAATATCAGGTATGTGGAAAAGAATAAAAATGTTTGCAAGTCAGATCTTAGAATAAGTCTATAATAAATGTGCTGGCTGCTCTCTTTCCACTCCTATTTTTAAATCTCAGTGTTTCTATTCCTCTGTTCATTAAAAACTAGTTCATTAAGGTAAGGATTATGTATGCTATTTATCAAAAATTTAGACTCACCTTGAAGAATGATAAAAATGGATTATTGGTTTTTGACGTTTTTGTCCTGCTATATTTTAGTAGATATATTTATTTTATCATCTGTCTGAGATATGAATCAATGGTGACTGAGGTATGTTTGCTTTTAATCTTGTTATTTACAATAGCAACCTTGAGTTTAAATGGGTTTATGGCAGCAGAATTCAACTAAATGGGTCCTATTTGAGGTAAGCATTGGGCTAAAATAGGAAAATCCCACAAGAAGAGCCTCATTCATGTTTATGGATTCATACAAGCTATTCCTGGTATGAGACTCAAATGAAACCATTTGCAAGCTGAAAGCTTGTGCATTATAAAGTGTTTCTGGAAATAGGGCTCTTGGAAATGGAAAGTTTCCTTAAAAAATAAAAGTGACTCACTGTATCTATTTTTAAAGGGAATTAATTCTGAATGGCTACGTATAGCTGACTAGTTCTATTAAAAAAAAAAAACACC